CTCTTGGATAACGGTTTTTGTTAGTTGGGGTGAATTACGGAGCGATTGAGTGCTGCCATTGTGGGGGTTAATTTCCTGTTTAGTTTTGAATTACCAGGTTTACAACAACCTTAGCCAAAACATAAAGAAAAATAGCAGATTTTGATAAGGTATACCTAGTTTTAAATTAGAAAGAAATCTAAACTCTGATCACCAAAGTGCATCATAATTCATAATCCACTCCTCGAAGAGAAACATAACAAATAAAAAATAAAAAACCTTTTATTTAATACAAATCGCTTAATTGGAAAATTATCTTAATAATTTGATTTCTTTTTGTATAGAAGTAAGCACATAGAAAAAATAAATATAAATTTTCAAAATGTCGCAAAATTAGATAGATTTTAAAAATCACATTAAAAACATAAAGACAGTCTATGTATTACCTACTATGTGCAATAAAAAGTTAGACTTTTAAGTTAAAGTTGATTTCAAAGTTTGAGGTCTAATTATTCTTAGTTACAATTTTTTCTATACCAATCGTTCAAACGGAAAATTTTATGAAAAAGAAAAAAACAACGCCAATTGTCAAAAACAAAATTGTCAAATTTTTCAGAGATTTACATAGTGTGAAAAAAGTTGTTCCCAAAAAGGTTTGAAAACTAACAAAAGAAATGTCGTATTTGGTCGTCTTGTTAGTGCAGTAGGTACCATATAGTCAGTGTTTAAAAACGAAATGGAAAAACATTGAAAAACTTGATAGAAGTTTGAAAGATGCCTGACAATTATGAAATTGTAAATTGTGACAAAAACAACGTCAAAAAACTGTCATTTCTTAACAGACTAAATAACATCATAAAAAAAATCAATTTGCGTTTTTTTTGCACTCAAGGGTACTTACCTACCCAGAATTTGCAAAAATAAACAAGATCAAAAAATAACAAAAAAATTTAGTTTTTGATAATAGGTCACATTTTTGTAGGTAGGTATGTACCTACTAAAAAATATTTTATCCGCAAACGTCAGAAAAATGACGTTATTAATGTATGTACAGTGACGAACAATATAATCGCGTAGGTACACTATAAAAACCAAGTAACACATTTTTTTTAACTTTTTTAATGTGTAAATTTTTTCTTTTTCGAAGTTTGTAAGAATTTTTAGTAAAAGGGTTATACTTATTTCTTGTTTTCATCTCTTCTTCACGCACTGGTTTTGTTTAAATTCTATTAGTCTACAAGTGCTTTTATGCTATGGGCTCCTCTATATAGTTTAGACAGTAGGTAGGAATTTTTTTGCTTTTAGTAAGTTTGGCATTTTTACTATTTGACACTGAGAAGAATCTAGCAAAAAAATGGTGTACGCGGTTTGATTGTTGGCCAGTGTACTAGGCCATCAAAAAAATTACCAAATGTTGGCAATACCTATTGGTTATTTGTTAACATTTATGGTTGACATTTCTTAAATGACAAGCGGTTTGATTTCATAGCAAATATTTGTTGTATTGAATATTTTTTTTTATTTGGAGTTAATTTGATAATTTAAAGTTTAATTTAGTCACTGAATTGTCAATCTCAACACATGTAACTTCCCTAGCGCAAGTTATTTAAAAAATTTTAAATTTTGATACAAAATTGGTCGAATCAAAAAATATGAATATCACACTGCCAGGAACTGTTTAGCAAGTGCTTCTACTTATATAGGGTGCGTCAGAACTCAAGCCCCAGAGAAAAATGCCATGTAAGGTACATAAGATACCAGGAACATAAAAAATGTTAAAAAAATTCTATCTATAAAAATTTCGAAGTTATGAGGGTTTAAATTTTGCAATTTGACTCTATTCATTTCTGTTGAAAAATATTTTTTCTAGTTTTTTAGAAGAGGAAACAAGGAAGCTGTAGCCTAAATTGAATCTATATTTAATGTTATTTGTGGCTTTTATTGGCAAAATTTTTGTACTTGTAAATTATTGTAAATTATTAATCTAACATTTGACACCTCGCCGGACCTATTAGAAATTGTGATCCGTTCACAACACGTTCATATCACTGCCAACTATGACGCGAGACTTAAATAAACACCCGTTATATTCTATAAGGTAAGGTGAAAGGTTTGGTTTCATAGTTTTCTAATATTCACGATCGATTATCAAAATTTCTGTATAATTATTTTTTTATCCAAAGTTACTTTATGAGACGACTGCAGTCGGTACCGTTTCTACGAAACCAACCTAAAATCTTACTAGGACTGAGATTGATAAACTAGGCTAATATTTTTTATCAGCATATATCACAACTTGTGACGAAATAAAATTATGTCCATTTTTTAAGCAGGTGGTCTCCTGCTTTTCTTGCTGAAAAAGCATGTCCTGGCAGGACCCCTAAATTAATTATGTCGCTTTAATTAATGGTCAAGCGGGTAAAAATGCAAATGCGTCCAATTAAAGTCCTTGAAATGGCATTTAAAAAAATCACTTCGGACACGCAAAGAAAGACAAGTCCGATATTGATATTTAGTCTGGGTTTTACGTGTGCAATAAACCGGGAGACATATTAAATTCTTCTGGGATGTCTGAGCGCTACTGTTTTATAGACGTTGTGCAGATGGCGTTGCCTCTATTGCGGTCATAAATTCGCCAACTTTCCACCGAGATCCGTATAACTGTTGTCCCGTGTGAAATATTATTACTTTGGTATCGGTGTGCGGTGTGAAACAATAAAAAATATTATCAAAGTTCCCGACATTACAGGAGACATGACGGGAATATGGACCAACCAGACCCTGTTTTCAAGAGGAAACTAGGATAAACTAGAGCTATTTTTTAAAGCATTTTCAATGAAATATGCTTTTGATTATTTTGCTCAATGAAAAAGACTTTTTCTAGTCGAAACGGGCAACTAGCGCATTTAATAAACTGTCTCCGTGTGGTCAGTTATTGAACTCTGGTGTACCGTCTTAATAAGTAGTAAATCTCGTATGTAAACGGATCGGATAGTCTGGTATATTTAGACACAAAGGCATGTCTAAATTGAATCGCGGTTGGCGGTGGCGTTGACTACAACGTGCACTCCGTTCCGCTATGGCTTGACGATCGCGGGCCGAGCACGTACCCAATTTATGAGCGCCCTCGTAATTTCAAACTGACTCTAAATAAGTCGAAAGAAGTGGTCTTTCATCGGATGATACGCCACTGGCGCTGCATCCGAGCAAATCGCTCATTTATTAACATAATAAACCTGTTACGCCGCTGATGAAACGCTCAAATGTGACATGTTTCAAAAGAGCATTGTTTTAATTAAAGCGGAAACAATGAAATTGCGTGCTAAAGCGATGTAAGCTCAAGGAGTGAATTATCCTGTCTCGGCGATTTCCAATGGTTTTTTCGGAGTTTCCGGGGTTATTACAAGATGAAGCTGATGTTCCAGTAATGGTCATAGGGGATATTATGAGGTTTTAGTTGAGCCATAAACATAAATGGAGTCTTTGTCCTTTATCTTTACTCTGATCGTAAAAACAATAAGACACTTCAGTCGCCATATCGATTCGCTCAGAAACAACTCTTGGATTTACTTATTATAGTTTTACTTTTTGTTTTTGCTAATACAGCGTGTTTGTAATGTGAGGTCAAAATTTTGTTTTGACTTTCTCTGATCTTCTTAAGATTGTTGTGATAATAAAATTTTATCTAAACAAAAAAATTATTCCAGTGACTCTCAAACTATTTACCAATAAAATATCCGAACTAAATAACATTTGCCATAATGAAAATAATGTGAGTTTTTTTTTCGATTACATTTTGTTTCTACACTCTACTATTAAGAGATGTTAAAGAAAATTTATTAGTAACACTTTTGTTTGACTGTCAAAACTTGTGATTAACTAAAACTTTTTAGATGAGATAATGTATGTAGTTGCAAGGACTTTTAATTTTCTTCATTAAACTAAATTTACTTGTTGCAACAATAAAATCTTGTCTTAATAAAAAAAATATTCCAGTGACTCTCAAGACCCTTAAACTTTGTACCAATATTTCAGAATTAAAAATAATATTCTTAATAATAATAATTTAATGTTTTTTTCTGTGCTTAATTATTATTTCTACACTCTTTTATTGCCAGATTGCCAGCAAAATTGTAAAAGGTTAATAAACAATGAAATGAAATATATTTAATTTATAAATGTATCATGTATGTGTTTGCTAATAGTAACACAACTACACTCAGATTTATATTTAAAATTAAACCCGTCAAACACATTCAAATTAATTTCAAACAAAGGCATTTAATTTTTTTTTCAAATTTATTTTTGTTGTTAATGTATTAAAATATACAGCACAACTCTTTCATTTCAAAACACTGAGCCTTCTATTAGACATATAAAGAGAGAAAATAACAGATCAATTATTATTTACAGTGTTAAATTTCAAAACTAATTAAATACAAGAACAATCACGGAAATTTTATTACATAAAGCAGTTAGCATAGATTAGAAATATGTATTGTTTTAGTTTTTTTTGCAACTTGAATTAACCCTCAATTCCCCTCTAATATTTGCAGATGAGAACAATTTCCTCGCTGGCTTATTGTTTAGTCGCAGCTCCAGCGGCAAGCAATTGTTTGCGTGTCGGCCCCGAACGAACCCGAAAAGACAGCAATGCAAATTAATAAACTTGCAAACCGCAAGCATCTGTTTGCGTGGCGGTAGTCAAACAACCCGAACAAACAAATTACATATGCATCAATCCAGTGGGCCGGGTACACAGCCCTCCGGGAATCCGGGAGAATACCCGGACTATCCCGGAATATCGACCGTGATGCTCTTATCTACCCACCACTGGCGTGGCATCGCAGGAGGCGTAACCGTGCGCAAACAATTGCGCACAGACAAAAGAATCGCACACGACACACGGCCGTCGCGATTAAGTTGGCGCGACGCAAGTCGACTCTTTGACGATTGTCGATTATTGTTTCAGACGCCAACCGCGATCCAAATCAAAAATTACAGCACAGTCGCCTCGAAGAAGTGATAAAACATGACAGCGAATAGTGGCCTGTGATTGGTCTGAGCGTGCATGAAAAAAGACGATCGGGATTCTTATTGTCTCCGTCCAGAGCCGTCTTGACGGTTGTCAGTTCATGATATGAACACGGGGCAAGTGTGCGGTGCCTAGCCTCGACGATGAGGTCCAAGTCTGTCGCCAGAAGAGTCACCGCTCAAGGTAGGCAAACAAACAATTTTCAACAAACAAAAAAATGTTACCCAATTTTGGACATTTATTGTAAACACGACTGTACTTCACATTTAACTTACAATTTTTTTTTGTCAAAAAACAATCAACTTCTTGGAATAGGTACCTATATATTTTTTCACTTTCCACGTCCTTTTACGGAATTTTTTGTCTAAAACTAGTCGTGAAATTTTTTCAGAAAGATACATATTCCAGACGTTCAAAAATCATAAATTTCTCCCTTAAAGCCGCTCCCCCACATTCCTGCGGTCCTGTAACTCCGCCTTTATTCCAAAGATGCGCCGTTTGACACTGGGTGTGTCTTCTCGTCTCATCCCCCTATAAGACCGGTTTTCGCATTCCTGCGTATTTTGCAGGAGTGTTTACAAAAAACAACAATCAACCTGTGTCATAAAATTGACTAATAAATGTTTAATTGTTCTATTCTCTGCTTTTTAATAATAAAAACTGCTGGATTTTTTCGTAATAATTCATGTTTACGATAAAATCACGCAGATGCGATAGGTGTTTGAGAATTTACGGTCATAATTGATGCAGTAATTTCGAAACTATTACAGTTTTGTTCCTTATGGATTGATAAGGATAACATTTTTCCTATATGCCAGATCATTATTTGTTCGTAACAACATTGCCCATTGTTAAATTTTATTTATTGACAATTTGTTGCATTTTTATTTATGCTCGTTATTTTAATGATTGTATTGTGTTATTTTATTTGTTCTAACTGTGGTGCTAGAAGCCCAATTTTTGAAAATATCACTTCTTGGAACCGTTGATCAGTCTCTTGTTATTAAGAATGTTTTTTCATGACAATTCGGTTAGTCTTTTGCACTTTTGCTGTTTTAAAATGTTTATAAACAATGTAAATAGCTGCCTGGCGTCACCAGTCTTATCCATTAATAAATTAACGTAATGTTCTAAACGATATCCTTTTACATTCTGGTATTGTGAATTCTGAAGGCTCGGCATCCGAGCAAGCTGTCATTAAGAAAAACTAAAATAAAGTAATACCAGGAATATTTATTATAATTAATTCCACACTTAGTTGTACAAATAGAAAATGAAAAAAGTAGAAGGGTTATTAAGAGCAACATTGTACAATAATATCCAGCCACTCATTGAGCCGAACAAGTGTAAGAAGGGGTCCACAAATCACGTCGAAATATCAAGTGGTGTTTATTATTTGAATCGAAGCAGCTGCACGAGACAATAAATATTTCAAGATAGACAAGAGGATAAAAGTTGTTTAAAACAAAGATTTCGCTTGTGTGGATTTAAGTGGGGCCGTAGCCCTTCGATATCAAAATCAAGATTGTTGTTGAAGGGAATTGACGGTTATGGTTAAGATTTACCACTACTAAATCAATAAGAGTCGCGCGCTATTCAATCTTTTTTCTTCTTTCGACCAGAGGTTGCATTCAGAAAGAAGCTTCTATCCGGTATAAACAATCCGCCTGTTTCTCGGTTAGTTTGCGTTTCCGTTGGACAGATACCATCCTCCTGTTTCATTCATCATCGTATTATTTTTCAGGGGTTTGCATTCTTTCACTTGTCTGTAATATCTCTCAAAGGACATCCTGCTTTTACACGGCGGTATCAAGATCTTTTTGTGGGATCAACCGCGGTGGGAGGGCCGAGAAAAGCTGATTCCCAAACTCCGATTTTTCACAAATTGTAAACTAATTTTGTACAATCTCATTCGAACGAAAAATTATCTAATTTAATTACTAGTGTGAATGTTTGATAAAAGTAGCAGTTTACGAGTCAGTTAGGTAAGTTTTGATCTTAGAAAATATAGACCTATCTATCTAAATAAAAAATTTATTGAAAAAATTGAAAAACAATAGATATTTTATAATATTTAGTTACTTTGCTAAAAGTTTTACTTTTAAGCTAAGACACAAAAGTGTTAAGTTTTTTGACGTTTGGGGATGAATTTATTTACGCAACATTTATTATTTACCTCATCACGTTCGGAGAAATAAACATTCAGCTCTACCACTTAAGTGTCAAGTTCGCATATCAATGTGTTATATCTAAAAGGTTAAAAAAAGAGTCCAAACTTTTTAAAAGTCTGCATGAGGAGTCAACTTTAATATTTTGGAATGAAACTTTTTTTTCTAAATTCAGTGATCTTACACATGCTCATTTAGTTTTGTTTATTTTGAATCACTTTCAAATTAATTCAAAATTAAGTTACACGTACCTTCAAAACAACTAAATAAGTGTAGAAATTGAAAAAATATTTTAGACATTGGAATTTAAATAACCACGTACCATCTTTTAATAGTAGTAGGTAAACCCTTTAATTTTTAAGCGACGTCAGCAAAAAAAAATCGTCTAAGAAAATTTGGAGACGAAAACACATAGATGGAGACAAATTTTGTACAGTTTTTAGAAATTTGAAGACAAAAAGTGTGCTATAAACACCATCATTAATATTTATTTAGACACATTCTCTTATTTTTAGCTAGACGAGTATACAAAATAAACATAAATGAGATAAAACATAAACAAATTAATGTATCTGGTTGCACCGTTTTTGAATAACGAGTTGAAAAAGTAGCAATTTTGAAACTAAAAAGCTGAAGAAGAATTTAGAACATGCATCAACTATGATCTCTTTATTTCATTTATTGTCAATCTTCATAATAACTTTTGCAGAATAAATTTGTTTTGTATGGACTCCTATTTTCATCAAAGTGTTTGTAGCAATTTGCCAGTGGCGGAACTAGGGGTCCAGTGCTCACTTCAAAAATAGCTGGCCCACCTTTGTGCCCACCTCCAAAATTGTAGATTATTTTTTACATATTACTCGTATCTACACAGGTATGCATAAAATCTTTGAGTTATCAAATTAGGTTTACATTTCCTATCGACTCTAAAAGCTCGCTCAGCTTCATACCACAAATTGATGACATACGATATAATTATTATTCAAAACAATCTGAATTTTAAAGTATGAAGTCGCTGAAATGTTGAAGTTTTATAAAATATATACATACGGGGTGTCCCACGAGTAATAATGAGCCTAAAAATTTTTTTGAAGCAACCAACATTACATTTCAAAGATAACGTGGATATTAAAATATTTAGTTTTAATCATGTTTTAATAAATTAAACATAGTGACCAAAGAGCACACTTCAACTTCAATTTATAAAAAGTCAAACCTTGAAAAATTTTGTGAGAATTATTAAAATGTTGCCGAAAAGACCAACAAGATTCTCATTTATGAAGAATGTTTGAAAAACGCTTCACAGACTGTACGGACTTTCTAAAACTGGAGTAGTTATTTTGACTGATAGAAATATGTCAAAAATAAAAATACGATTACTATGTTTACTAGCTAAAACGAAATATATTAACATCTATGAAATGTAATGTTGCTTGTTTCAAAAAAATTTTCAGGCTCATTATTACTCATGGGTCACCCTGTATAAACATTACATTATTGTTCAGACTAACTCTAGTCGTATTTAAAAAATAAATACACAGACACTTAATGCAGAATATAATTTTCTTTTTCTCGGTATATTATTTCGGACACCGCGTGCGTCCAATTTGTTGGTTGAAAACGATGATAGTGACTTTGAATCAGATTTGGATTCAGCTTCAAATAATGAAGATAAAAGTAAACCATCTGCAACTGCAACTGCAGAAACAACATCATCATTACCGAGTTTATCTGTAGAAAAACAGTATCTTCAGATTTTGTATTTCGTAACTGATGGGCTTACACAACCAATTTTAAAATTTTATAAAAATAATATATTTGGCAATAGATGTAGACAGTTTAAAAAAAGAGTGGTTTAATTTATACAGGGTGCGCCAGAACTTGCGTCCCAGAGCCATGTAAGACACCAGGAACATGGGAAAAATGTTATTTTTTTATCTATAAACATTTTGAAGTTATGAGAGTTTAAATTTTGCACTTTGACTCTATTTATTTCAGTTGAAAAAATAATTTTCCAAGTTTTTTTGCTACAGATTATTAGAAGAAGAAACAAGGAAGCTGTATCCTAAATTGTAACTCTGTTTAATGTTATTTGTAGCTTTTATTGGCAAAATTTTTGTACCTACCTTTACTAAATAATTATAAAAAAACATATACAAGATCAACAGTATCATTAAATAGACATAAAAAATGTCAAATGTCAAAAAATAAATATCAAATTTTTTTGACAGATAGAATTTTTTAAACATTTTTTCCATGTTCTTGGTATCTTATCTTTCTTGAAATTTGAAATACATATAGTGTAATTAGTAATTGATAAATCAAAATCACAGAAATTTACTACATTAGGTGAGTAATAAACTTATTAATAGTTTTAAAGTAAACTACATGACCGTAACTAAAATACAGAATTAATGAGTTCCTAAAAATTGAATTCAAAGATACATAAAATGATAAGTGTAATTAAAACAGACAAAACTAAATAAAATCTATCCAGCCTTAAGGAAACTAATATTATTTTATTTGCCCATCAAAATTTTTTTTGTTCCACCTATGTGCCCACCCAAAAATTGAGCCACTGCAAGAAGCTCATTTTTGCCTACAACCTTGTACTAACCTACTTATTAGCACCGAATTCTGTCTTTTGACATTAGGTGGTGATGTGTGCCACAAACACACAAAATTAATAAAAGTCTAAACATTTCAACATTAAAATATAGCCATATTTTTTTAACACTAGGGACAAAAAAAAAACAAATTAAATTTATGGCTATGGAAATAAGACATAAGATTATAAGATTTTACCACCAAAATTTTGACTTGATGATTTCGGTTAAAAAAACAGACTTGTCTATTTTGTTGGCCAATCTCCTATTTCTGCGTCGAAATTTGGTGTATTTGTTGTGATTTCTTTCTTTTCATTTATTGGCTACAATTAGATTTGATAGCAATCTCGGCACACAAGCGACGCTTTTAATGTATTATTTCTTCAAGTGTCGCAGCAATTTGAGTCAA